ATTAAAAAGATCAAGATAGTGGGTTTTTGTTTGTTTGAATTTAAAACCTCTGCTCTTAGAAAGACACTATTAAGAGAATGAATAAATAAGCCATAGACAGAGGAAACATTTGTAAATCATATATCTGATAAAGGACTTGATTCCAAATATAGTTTTAAAAACTCTCAAAACTCAACAATAAGAAAAAAAACTCCACAATTTAAAAAATGGGGGGAAGATTTGAACAGATACTTCACCAAAAAACGATATGCAGCTAACAAATAAGTGCACGACAAGATGTTCAACATCGTTAGTCATCGGAGAAATGCAAATTGAAACCACAATGAGCTGCTGCTTCATACCTATGAGAATGACTAAAATCAAAATGATGGTCCACACCACAGCAAGGATGTGGACCAACTGGAATTCCCATACACTGCTGGCGGGAAAGTAGAATGGTGCAACCACTTTGGAAAACAGTTTAGCAGTTTGTGAAAAGTTAAACATATGACCCAGCCATTCCACTGCTGAGCATTTGCCCAAGAGAAATTAAAGCATATGTATCTACACAAAGATGTATAAGTGAATTAATTCTCTTAGCAGCTTTAGTTGTAATAGACACATCCCAAATATTCAATCAATAAGTAGACAGAAAAAATTGTGGCACATCCAAACAATGGAATACTACTCACCAATACAAAGGAATGAATTATGGGATACACATTGATATGGACAAATCTCAAAATAATTGTGCTGAGTGAAGGGAGCAAGACATAGCTGGCTTCCATTTGATTCCATTTATATAAAATCCTAGAAAATACAGAAAGTAACTCAGTGGTTGCCTGTGGACTGGGCATAGGAGGCGGGAAGAGAAGCAGGAGGGAGAGATCAGGGGGCACAAGGGAACTTTTGGTGGTAAATGGATATGTTTGTTATGTTTGTGATTGTGATGATGGGTGTATACATTTGTCAGGACTTATCAAATGGTACACTATATGTCAATTATACTTCAATGAAGCTGTTAGGAAAGGATAAAGAAGAAGCATGACATTATGAAACAAAAAGAGGCAGAATAAGCAAAGATGGGTGTGAAAAAGAACCCATTAAAAATTCTGGGAGTGAAAAATATTCATTGCATTAAAAGTACTCCTTAAAGAGGGAAGGAAAGAAAGGAAGATCCCCCACAGATGGACAACCTCTGGACTGGATGCAGTTAAGGAGAGAATTAATAAATTGGAAGAGAGTTCTGAGGAATTTTCTCAGAGCACTGCCCAAAAAGAGAAAGAAAAATATGAAAGGGTAGTTAAGGGCCGGCCGAGTGGCTCAGTTGGTTAAGAGCTTGCTCAAGAGTTTGAGCTCTGAGCAACAGTGGTTCGAGTCCCAGCCCAAGCTGAGCAGCCAACAGGTAGCAGGATGGCTCAAAAAAAAAAAAAAAAGTAGTTAAAAAAGACATGAATGACAGATTGAGCTACACCTTTATATGTTTAATAGAAAGTCTACTGGCGAAAATGACTGAGAAGCTATATTTAAAAGATAATAGCTGAGAATTTTCTAGAATTTAAAAAGAGATATAAGTCCTCATCAAGTACTGTGCGCATCAAGGAACGAGGAGAATTTTAAAAAGTAAATCTCTATTTCAAAGTCACATAGGGAAACGGCAGAAAATCAAGAATAAAGAGAACGTCTTAAAATTTACCATAGACAGATTATCCACAAAAGAACATTAGACTAACAGTAGGTTGTTTAAGAGCCTACAGCAGCCTTTTTGGCAATCTTCAAAGCGCTGAAAGAAAAGAAAACTTCATCTGCCTAGAACTCCATACCCAGCTGAACTTTGATTCAAGAGTGATGATGAAATAATGACAGTTTTATAGAAGACAAAGGAGCCCAGCCCAAACCTTGAGGCTCTTGAACGTTTAGACACTGGGGAGGGGAGAAGCCCTTTCAGATCGCTTATGCCCAGTCGTCCAGTGCTGGCCTTTGTCCCCCACAGACACAAGAAAGGGAAGGACTGGATTTGGCTGTTGTTGAAATGCGAGGCTATTGGAAATGCTGCTTGTTGGCCACATTGCTGGGTATTCCATCAGGACAGAGGAGGGAGGTGGAATTCCTAGTCCCAGCTTGGGTTTCAGCCCTGCAGCAGTGGGGGAATTGCAGTGGGAGAGCTGTGCTGGGGTGATGATGGGGCCAGGTCCCAGGCCCTGGTTTGGGGAGGAGCCCATGAGCGCCCCCTCTAGGATGGCCCATTCTAGACTCTCTCTCTGTCTTCCAGATTGTGGACAAGAACAACCGCTACAAGTCCATAGATGGATCAGACGAGACTAAAGCCAACTGGATGAGGTGAGTCCTGCTCTCTGCTGATTTCCCAGGAGCCTTGCTTGAACTCTGGAGAGGAGGCCAAGGGAGCATATGCTGAACCTGCGGTATCTCCAGTGGTGGATGACCCTGGAGGCCCCGGGGCTGCTGTTTGCAGGGTTTGGGATATGTCTAGCTCTGGGGGACCCTCTGGCTCCCCCAGCTTTTTGCATCAGGGGGCCCTGGAGGAGGCCTGTGGCCTGGTCGGCNCTAAGGGAAGATACCTTGTGGGAAGTTAGATACTCACATCGGGGCTTGAAATAAAATATTTGTGAGTAGCGAACAAATTGAGAGTCTTGGAATGGATGCAAATATCCAGAGAAAGAGTAAAGAAGGTGTGTGTGTAGGAGGCAAGGGAGCTTGCAATCCAGATGAATTGAGCCCATAGCCCACTCTGCCGACAAACTATTGCAATAAGAGTCAAAAAAAGAAAAAGAAAAGAAAGAAAATGAAAGAGAGAGAGAGGGGCAGACAGATTCCTACTCAAGATAAGCCTCTAGACCAAATCTCTAAAACTATTGAAGAAAACATTAAAAAGACAGCCCCCAAAAAACAAACAAACAAAACCAACAAAACAGAACAACAATAAAAAACAGAAACAGACTCATAGATACAGAGAACAAACTAATGGTTGTCAGTTGGGAGGGAGTTTGAAGGGCTGGGTAAAAAAGGCGAAGGGATTAGGAAACTCAAATTGGTAGTTATAAAATAGTCATGGGGATGTAAAGTGCAGCATGGGGAATGTAGTCAATAGTATTGTAGTGACTGTATGTGCTGAGTGGGTGCTGCACTTGTCGGGGGATCACTTCATGAATTATTGGGTTGTCAGAAAAGTCGTGATGTATTTTTTTCTATGTTTTTCGCTGCAAAAATGCGTCATGACTTTTCCGACAACCCAATATGTGGCTGTCTGGGCACTGTGCTGTACACCTGAAACTAATATAACATAATGTTGAATGTCAACTGTAATTGAAAAACAAAAGACAGGCTTCAAAAGTTAATGACAAATAAATTCACTCTAATTAAAATAAAAGCAATAAGAGTATTCTAAAAATGAATTTTAAATAACTGTTTAGAGTCTGTATCAGGAGTAGGTTTGACTGTGAATAACTGAGATTCAAAATAACAGTGGCTGAAGCAAAATAAGAGTTAAGTTTTCTTTTATGAATACATTATAGGCCTAGTGAGGTGCC